CTGTTCAAAATGGAGCCATAAAAATAATAAAAGAAAAACCACAAAAACATGGAAACTGTAATAGATAGAAAATCTAAATTATATATATACATATATATATAAATATATGTGTGTAAATGTACGCGTGTGTGCATATATACATATATATTTAAATATATGTGTGTAAATATACGTCTGTGTACATATATGACAGACTGCTGCAGAGACCTGGCTCCAGCACTCGCTCTTCTTGACTCATAAATGTACTTAAAGAGCAGCACAGACAGCGTCCATGTTCACCGCCGCGTCCCTGCTGTTTGACCACAGACAGACAGATCTGTGACACCAGAATGTGAATCCACTGCTAAGCTGATTTGTTCAGAAACCACTTTTGGATGTAGTTGAGATTCGATTGTGAGCTGGAGGCTGAGCAGTCGCTGTCTCCAGCTGTTGGCCGTCTCAACAGTCTGCAACAATTAATGTATATTAGTCTCCTTTCCATCTGCACTAATTACATCTTCTAACCTACTTCCTAACCTACATTACCTCATTGTTATTGCTGTTAGGCTCCCTGACATTATTGATAATGCACATTATGCCACTCTCACAGCAGGTAATCAAATCTTCCATTTCCATTTTCTCATTGCATTTCTACTTATTACAGCCATTACACCCTTCACTCTCATCCATCCACTTGTCAGACAGAAAATATTTGCCTGGGCTCTCGCTTCCTCCGTGATGGATACTAGGTGTGGACACACTTGTCAGACAGAAAATATTTGCCTGAGCTCTCGCTTCCTCCGTGATGGATGCTAGGTGTGGACACATGCACGGTGACTTTTTTTTTTTTTGCTAACAGCGAGGTGAGACTCTCCTCTGTGAGGCGTAACAGGATCTTAGTCAGTCCAGTGATCACTAACCCGCTCCATCTGATTGGCTGCAGCCAGGAGTGAGTGAAAAACAACCAGAGTGACAAGTCAAACAGTAAATTAGTCTAGGAGCTCTAAACGAGCAGCCAGTCAGTGAGAAGAGACCGAGGCGTTCAAAGACGCTCAGGACGAACCTTCACATCCAAGACTGAGGTTCTCCTCTCTGTGTTCTCCTCCAGTCTTCACTACATGTGTTCTCTGGTTACAGTAGTTGTGAATTCGTGTGTGTGTGTGTGTGTGTGAGGCCAGACACATCACATAGACACAGACATGGGATTCTGCTCATTGCTGCACTTAGAGAAACTTCCACTGAGAATCCATTAGCTGTCTGAAAAGCACTCAGGCTAATTATGAATATAAATTAACGGATGTTCTCACATGCACCAGTCTTCACACACACACACACACACAAACTTGTTTTCATCAAACAGAATATTCCAGTTTTTAACTTTACTTTAATGGCTTCATGTTAAATAGAACCTTTTTTTACTGCACATATTAAGTATTACTTTAATGGAGGAACTGAATGAAGTTTTTCTGCATTAACTACACCACTTAAAGAAAAAAACACTTTTTATTTTATCACCAGGCCAATCATTTTCACCTAAAACATTAATGTAACGCCATGTTTTTCTTCTTCCCACTTTACCCACGATTCTTTGAAACAGGAAATGATTTTTTTAAATCTCCATGTGCACATGTAGATCAGACCAACTGAGGAGGTATTTGGAGATGATGTTGCTGCTGTTGCTGTTACTGCTGCTGATGATGCTGTTACTGTTGCTGCTGCTGCTGTTACTGTTGCTGCTGCTGCTGTTACTGTTGCTGCTGCTGCTGCTGCTGCTCCACCCATAGTTCTGATGTGATTCCCTCTCAGCCTGACGTTGTCCCACTGCATTTGTCACAGGCAAACGTCCAACCCAAACCCGTGGACACGACCCAAACCCTGGAGTCTGCGAACAATATATGCAACAATTAGGCGTCCACGGTTTTAACTGCAAATGGCAGAGGTTTTCATCAAGGTCTCTGAGGTTTAAGAAACTCATTATGGGCTTTGGAAACAAATGTTCAGTGCGATTACTTTAAATATTCATCACAGACATTATTTAAAAAATATACAGCAGCCACTTCATCAAAATATTATGACTTTATCCACCAGGAACCTTAAAGCCGCCCCCCACCCCACCCCAGATTCAGCCAGAGTCGTACTCTGTAAACACATAGTACTCCATGTTCTGCATTGCTAATTTAGCAGCTCTGCAGACTCTCTGTAAGAAAACCACATGAGTTCATCTTAGAGATTGAGTCATGTCTTTTTTTTTTTTTTACAGGAGCTCATTTACTGAATTATTCCAGGATCACACAATAATCTATTTTTACAGTAGTTAGGACAAATGTCCATTTTTGTCCCCACATGGTTGTCTCATGAGCCGGTGCGGTTACAAAAAAAAAACCCAAACTCCAGCCACTGAGGGCAGACGGAGCTGTAATATGATAAAAATGTCCCTGCGTGACAGGAGAGTTATGGGTCCATCTGTTGGACAGATACAGGACACGAGGACGTGTGATTAAAGTCCTGACGCAGATTTGGCCTCACAAACACACATCAGTGTCAGGACTGCGTGACGTGACCTTTCAAAGCAGCGATCCACCAAATGTTTACACCCTCGTCAGAGAAAAGCCATCATCAAACCAAGCGAGTTCCTCTGCACCGCGCCGACACAGGCACTCTGTATCAGGAGTTCATCTCCGCTCCTCCTTGTTGTTGTGTGTCTGTGTGACGCTGGCAACGACGTCATGTGGTCTGGTCCTGATTTTGGACGTGTCCGAAAGAGGACGGAGGAGATTTGGCTTCATGAGCAGCTCCAGAACTTCAGAGAAGAATACGACCGGGGTTATTATGAAGTCATTAACAAAGACACGGAGGAGAAAAAAGAAAAAACAAAACAACAACAGACACGACACACAGTTAGGTCTCAGTTAAGACGTCTGAAAACACAAACACAGGACAGGAGTGAACATCATTTACAGATGTACAGTTGTCACCACAAGATAGATGGCGATATTTCTCATTTTTTCCTCGGGGCAGCCTGTTGCCAAGTGGTTACAGGAACAGCTTGTGATCTGAGGATTGTCGGTTCAAAACCCTGTTGTATTTCAGTCAAAAAAAAAGAAAAACTCCCACTCCTCCTGGGCACAGTCAGTGCAGCCCACAAGATTAGGTTTAAATTCAAAAGTTGAAGTTTGTCGTGTGAACAGTTGCCACGTCAACAGTTGCCACCACATGAGGGCGGTCAACGTTAAATTAATCAGATTACTTTTTTAAAATCCACTTATCGTTCCTCTCATATTTAAACGAATCACATTTGTTATTTGAACAACTGCCGAAAACTGTCTTCCTGTCACTGAAGCACCTCCAGCTTAAAATACCGTCTCATGGTCCAGGCTCTAACTTCAGGTCAGAGGTCAGGCTGGACTCACAGCTGTGTACATTTGCAGATTTTTCCTCAGTATGTGTCCATGTTAACAGCTCCATCATTGACATTAGAAAACTCTGAGAGGCTGGAACAGCACCACGGACCCTGAGTGGTCTCTGACCCAAATGTAGAAAGCACTAAGGCAGTGTTTTTCCAGCCAGTGCAGCCAGGGGGCCTTCATCATCTTGGCGTCTGTGACAGGACCTACTTACTCCTGACAGAACTTTTGTCCTTCGTTTATCTGCAGGTCAACGACAAGCCAAAAGTGTCACGTTGTCAAGTATTATATAGTGTGATCATTTAAGGCCGACGTACAGTATATTGTGGAGAACGCCCTCATCGATTTTCATAGAAATTCTAAAAGAGGAGGACGTCAATCACTCTGGTGTAGAAAATGGACGCAGAGGATGGGAGTAAAAAATGCAAAGTCATAATTAGGTCATAAAGATTATGGTTGGCGATAAATGATCCACACCAGGTGATGAATCGGCAGTTTCTGCAGCCTATCATGAGCCAGCACTTCTGGGACTTGCGTTGTCACTCATGGGTGGACTCAGGGTGACTTCAGGTACGCCTGTAAAAACTTGGCTACGTTCCTTTAAAGACAGCTCGTCCTTGGAGACATCGTCCCTCTGCTTTTCATGGAGCGGGAAGACGTGGAATATTCTATATTCCAAATAGAGGAATGAAAATATACCGTGACTACCTCGGCCTCTCTGTGTGGAAGGAGTAAAAAGTGGAATAATTGACGTTTAGACGTGTGTGAGTTACAGAGATAGAATCTCTCAGATGTCTAAGTTTAAAGGCTTGATTTAATTTAGAGCAGAAAAAAAATGTTTTAAAGTAAAAATGGAATTTAAATGTTTCCTCTGGTAGTGTTTTATTCCAAGGAGGAAAAACAGAAACAGCTAACATGTACGTGTTCTACAGACCTACATGTATGTATGAGTACATATATGTGTTTATGCTGTGTAGAAATTCACACTTGTATAAATATAAAAGTAATTTCTGGATAATGAATAACTTTGTGGTTAAAGTCAGGTCAATGTGTTTCATGTTTTGATTTTGCACCGTCTGCAGAATCAGAGTGGGTTGTTGAAGTTGTAAGGACACTGAAAGAAGACATGTTTTTGTTAGTTGTCTGTAATGTAGAACGCAAATCAAAGGAACAGATCTGTACAAAAAAAACCCCAAAATTTGAATCGAGATGTGTTAAAGAAGAACAGTGGTTTGGGCCAAGTGTAAAGTCCAGATTTCACAGACTTCTCTCTCCAACAGCCTTGACAAGTTTAAATATTATATCTCTGACAAGAATTCTGTTACATTTTTTAAACCCTCAGAAATAAAACATTTTGAAATCTAAGCAAAGATGATGAATTAACCAAACTTTAAACATATATCTGTGATAAAAATGACTGAAGCATAACGACAGAAAGATGAAAGAACATTTGAGAGGAACTTGATTTAAGTCTTTGGAAGAGTCAAAGTCAAATAAGCAGATTGGGACCTGAATTCTACAGAGAAGGAATTCTCTGATAGAAACATTATTTGCAGGAGTTTAGATTCAAATGGGGATTGTGTAAAGAAAAAGTTTGTTTTTTTCTTCTTTCTTCAGTTGCTGTTCAAACCTTTCTCTTGGCCTGGACTGAGGCTGCTCTGAATCATGGAGCGTTTGTGATAAAGGTGCCAACGAGTGAGCGTGGACGCATGTTAAAAACCAGTCCACTGGAAGGTCCAGACCTTTCCGACGTCTCACCAGGTGATCTGTCATTATGTCACCACACTTAGTAATGAAATGTTTTTGGAAGAAACCTCCACACTCCACTAAAGGTCAGCTCTAATACACAGCAGTTCTCTGTTAGCTTCACTCCTCACGCCTCCCTCTCTTCACCCGTCCGTTCCCGTCACCTCTTCTCGTCTCCATCGTCTTTTTCATCCTATCTGTATTGTATTTCACTCACTTCCTCATCCTCTTTTGCATCTGCTGTGAATCAGAACAGGTTTCCTCCCTCCAGGAATTGCTTTGAATATTATCTCAAAAGTCTTCATTCTTCATCTGTGCAGCCAGTTTTAGCCTCAATTTGTTGCCTAGAGCCAAAAAGGCGATGTGGGATTCACCGAACGTGCACACACCGCAGAAAATGCGATTATGCTTCAGACTATCCATCTCCATTTTCCATCCAACAACATGGGAATCAGGAGGACGTGCTCAGGCGTCACACAGAAGTCTGTCTTTGGTCTCTGCCTTTCTCTTTGGCCTCACACATATCCGTGTCTTCTCACTGACAGTCTCTTTCATTTCATTTCACTTCTCCCTCTCACTTGACTCACTCTGTGTTATCACTGCTCTCCTCACTTCAACATCTCTCTTTCCTCTGCATTTTCTCTCTCTGTGTTTCACTCCCTCGTGCTCAGAGGTAATTCTGTCCTGAGTCTTATTCATCATCATCATCCCCTTCTTTCCATCCCTGTCTGCTTCACACACACACACACACACACACATAGTATACACTTGTGGCATGCACAATTTCCAGTCTGCATATCAGTGTCAGCGCCTCAGAACAATTTGGACGCTAACAGCATTTGGGTGGGTTGGAAAAGACGATAGGGGGAAAAAAAGAGACTGAGATAACCAAGATTGTGAAAGAAAAAAAAAGAAGAAGAAGAAGAAGAAAAACAAAATTCAACCAGAAAAAAATTCCATTGATATTGTTCTGGGCAGAAAATACACAATTTTTCCAACTTGTGGTATTGTTTGCAAAAAAAAAAATCTGTTTATCCGCTTCCTCTTTAAACAGTGTGGGATGTTTAAAACATGTGACTAAATGGAAAACTGTGATTACGCCAGTGGTGAGAGAGATAAGGCAGAGCAGAGGGAGAAAGAGATGAGTCAGGCAGAAAGGCTGATTATTAGGGATCTGAAGTGAGTGAAATCAGAAACTTTAACGAGTAAAATATGGTTTAGTCCCAGGAAGAAAAACAAAACACAAAAAAACTCTTTGGTGCAGTGAAAGATAGCAAGAAGAGAAATAAAACAGAGGGGAGAAATGACATTTCATATTTATTTGTAAACCAAGTCACATTTCTAAACCTCTGGATCTCCATTATAAATAAATGAAGTCTTGTTATTATAAATGTAGGATCCCATTATGTCGTCTGAATGCTGTCAGCACAGGTCTTCATCATTTTGAGGACAAAGTGAGCGAGGGCGTGACCCTGTGGGGGCTTCGTTTCTGTCGGCGTTATTAAATTAGATTAACCTTGATTTAATAGCGAGCACATATTTCCATTTTGATCACATCTGTTTGTGACACCTCAGAAGAGGCCGAAGACAATGGGAATATAGACGGAGGCTAACTCAGCCAGACACTGCTCTTTAATGGCCATAGCTTTTGGCCAGCACGACAAAAGACACAGGAAATCAGACGCATGTGTCGTCTTTCGGGGTCCAGTCTTTCCATGTTTTATGAACTGCTTTTGATTTGAGTTTTTTTTTTCATTATGAAAACATGGTTGTTGTTAACAGATTGGCAACCGAGAAAAAAACCACTAAAAATAGTTTTGTCTGTGTAACCAAAGATGTATGGGAGGGGGGGGGGAGGGGGGGGGGGGGAGCTGAGAGGGTGGCTGTGATTTACAGGCAGGAGCAGCACAGTTGGTGTGTGTACATGACATTAGAGAAAAGTGGATTATTGTTCAGCACTAACAACTCAAATGAATATTTCTCTCTGATATTCTTCCAGATTCTTCTACATAACATCCCAACCACCTGCAGGTCGAACACTCGTCTCACAGGAGACCCAGGTGTAGGAGGACGCCTAATGAAAATGACAGAATTGCCCCAGAATTTTTTTTTTTTTACCTGCACAAGCTGATGAAAAATCAATCGCAGCTGTGAGCTGAGAAGAAAAACCAGGAAGAAAAACAAGTCGGTTCAAACGGAAAAATCCAATATTGATCCAAACTCTGTCTGGATTATTGGACTTTGGAGAAACAAAGTGGTTCTGAGGACAGGAAGTTCTCCAGCGGCTGACCCCTCTGGGTCAAAGGGCACAGTGAGACCAGGTAAGTGTTTTTTTCTTTTTTCGCCCTTTCTTTGCATTCTACCTTTCTGCCCCCTGAGGGACCCGCCCCCTACTTTTAGAACCACTGCTTTAAATGAACCAAATACTACACTAAACTGATGCTGTGATTTTGACACACACCCAATGTCTCTCTCTTACACACACACAGTCACTGGATGATATGATCCGAATTCTGGTGGTGATGACTATGTGACTAATCTCTTGGATTTATTGGTTGGTTGTATTTCTCCTTGTTTTGTTTCGTTACAGGGATTATCACCAACTTTGTAGATTTTTAGTTTGTCGACGGACTTTTAATTTGATCGTTTTTCCTTCTAACTTGCACCAGACTTGTTTTGAAGACTTGTTACACTGAAACAGTGACCCACATGATTCATGGAATGGAATTAACAAATTAAAAAAAAAAGTCTTTCTCAACATATCCAGCACTGAAATCTAAAGACATCTGAAAGTGATGTTTCCATCAGAGAATTCCTTCTCTGCAAAATTCTGGAGGAAAAAATACTGGGTTTCCTAACATCATATTTTAACATAACAGAATGTTTCCATCAGAGAATTCCTTCTTTGCAAAATTCTGGAGGAAAAAAAACTGGGTTTCCTAATATCATATTTTAACATAACAGCTTTAAAAGGGTTTTAATTCTAGTTTGGTTCAAATTTGGTGATGGTTCAGAAAGAGAGAGAGATGTCGTACAATAACACGTTTCTAAAATCCTCTCCTAAGCGGCGTTGGCTGGCAGCAGATATTCCAGGCCCGTCCAGAAACAAGTGATAAAATAATGAAACTAAATGAAGTCATTAATCCTCTTACTCTAATTATTCTCAGTAAAACCCAATTGAACTGGATTACATGAATGAATACACCTAGACACAGGTCCTGTCCCATCTGGATTACATGAATGAATACACCTAGACTCACCTCACCATTCCACAGGTCCTGTCCCATAACTTCAAACTAACAGTCTGGACCATAGATCGCACGTCGTTGATCGTTTTTATATCTTCAGTTGGTGATATGTTTCTCTTGATTCTTCAGTTACTTTCTACTTTGATTTGGAACCTGGTTAACACAAACTAAGTGACTCCATTTTCATTTACCCCCCCGCCCCCCCAGAGTTAGCTGTGACTCCATTCTTCACTCATGGAAGAAAGTGTGTAGTTGAAGTTGCTCTGTGCAGAACGGAGACGCTTACGAAAACAATAAGATCATAAAGTTGGGAGCTCAGATAGATGGACAGATGGGAAAGATGAGAAGAGAATACACACACACACACACACACTCTGGGGAGGAATGATAAATGAATATCATGTGTCATCATAGACAGTTTACCCATGTGACATTAGCTAAGATGATGGATGAGCATGGCTTACAGTAAAAACACTTCGATATGTGTGCGTTTGTGTGTCTGACTGAAGCCCAGCCACTGCCTGTAAACATGGAAATATGTACGGTATGATTTTTGTTTTCCTGGATCTCAGCAAATCTAATTTAACTTGTGGTCGAGCTCCTATCCTGCCACCAGTCTATAAGTTTATATACAGCACCATAACAACAGTTGTCAGAGAGGACGGAGTCGTCTGGAAAAAGAGAACGCCCAGTGACCGGTGAGAATAAAAATCTGCATCAGCGTGCGTTTGGTCCAAGGCATGTGCCTCGCTCGGTGTCATTCTCATTAAAGCTGATATGATCAGTCCATTATATTAGTTGCAGGCTTACAAGAAACGAGCGAGGCAAGTATTAACTCTGCCATGATAAAGCAATCTGTCCATCTGTTGTCTAATGGGGGAGAGTGGGGCCCTGGGCTGGACGACTGAACAGGATCTGATCAGATTCTCATCAGTGTTGTTTCAGAATGATAACATTAAACAGAACAGCTCCTCTACTCCTGCAGCCTCCTGGTATCCATGTCTGCTCACAGTAGCTAGTTTGTTTGCTGGTAAATACAAGCAGTTACCAGGAAATGACCAGTCTGTGTTTTAAAGACTGCTGAGTTTCCAGTGTAAAAGTCCAGTTCTGCTCTGTTGATGTGGTGTGGAGTAAACCCTGTGTTCTGGGGAGTTCACTTCTTTACTTGTGTTTGTGTTTGAGTCCACTGATATTAGCATTTGTCATGTAGCGCTGTAACGTCCATGTTATTTATTATTATTATTATTATTATTATTGTGGTGCTTTGGCCCAGAGGCAATGTCTCCCAGGGTTCAACTCCTGGGCAGGTTCGAATCCCGGTTAGGGCGGTTGGTACCTTCCAGTGGACTCACCACCTGCAGGAAGGTTTAGGGAAGGTTGGTACGGTGCAGTGTGATTTGGGTGGGGACTGTTGACCCCGCGACCTGGTAACGGATAAGCAGGAGAAAATGGATGGATTATTATTATTATTATTATTGTCCCATTATTGCCTGGTCATTCGATCACTTCTGATTGGATAGAAATCCTTATATATATACTTATATATATACAGTATATATATATATATATATATGTACATATATATATACTTATATATATGTACATATATATTTATATGTACTTGTATATATGTACATATATACGCACACATATATACATATTTATGTGTATATATATGTATATATATGTGTGTGTGTGTGTGTATTTAAATATACATAAAAGGGCCTTTGTGTGATTGAAAACAACAAGAACACTGTTGGAGCTTGAATTGCGACTCTACTGTGTCCTGCCAACACTTCTAATGAGGAAAATATGTCCCGGTTCCCCAAAAGTGACACAGCTGATGCCCACAAATATGGAGCAAGTCACGAGGAATTAAATGGAAAATAAGTCAAGTCTGGTTCGGCGTGACTTAACCCTCCTGATCACCCAGCGAGATGCAGAACCTGAGAATCGTCATGTGTGAAAAAGCATGGAGTCGGTCGACGCAGGGTGAATAAAACACGCCGCTGTGCTAAGAATAAGGCAAGTGGAAAAAATCCAAGTGGAAATCTGGATTTTATCCCACAGAAAGGGCTCTGATAGCAATGTGTAAAAGTAGACACTGGTAGCGTGTAGACAAATGGCACCAGGAGACAGACAAAGACTCAGAAACGCATCAGTGGAGAGGGAGACATTGTGGTTTTTTTCTGGTGGATATATAATCAGTTTAAGAGGAAGCCTTTTCCCCTGAGTTTTGCTTTGATGCACAATCAGATTTCGGGCCACACTGTAATTCTCTCTCTCTGATTCTCCCTCTCCCTCCCCCGTCTTTGATGTGGTGGCATCCTGGCATTGTTCATGGTTATTGTGCCAATGTGGAAAGCAGGGAGGAGGGACAGCGGACGGGACAGAAGGGAACGAGACAGAGATAAATGAAGGGATGGTATTCCAGTATTGATGTGGCCTCCAGGCCCCAGTAAAGTCGAAAATCTGGATATAATTGACAGCTACGTTGGCAGAGCTGGGATTCTCATCAGAATGTGGTGGAATGTTCTATATGTTCTGGGATGACCTCTGAGAACCTCTGAGTGGAGGAGCAGGACTCGTACCATCATCATCATCATCATCATCATCATCATCATGGCAAATACTGAATGTTGATGTTTGTGATTCTTCCTCATCTGTGTTTATCTTCAGTTGTTGAGGATTTTTTTTTTACACTAATCTTCTCAAATGTTATGATTTTTGGGGGATTAATAGAAACGTACTGCGTTCAAACTATTTACTTTAGTACTTAGAGTATGTAGTGAGTAAATAATAATGGTTTTAATAAATCCAGGCCACACACTCTGGGACAACATTATTGTCATTGTAAGTTAGCAGTTTTCAGGGAGGCTAAAAGTTGACGTACACTCATTACCAAACTAGATGATTAATATCCCTACGTTTACTAAATAGGTCAGTATGTGCTCAACGTTAGCCAACGACGCTAAAAGATAACCACATGAGTCCATCATGTCTTCCCTGCTAACATGTCCAGGTGCTGCGGATCAAAGCTAGCACGGGATTAAAGAGCATTTCAGGAGTTAGAGTTAGTTTCCTAATTAGTCATGGGTGTGGTTTCCACAAAACACACAATTAACCAATTAGACTGTGGGTTTGTTTTAACAGGAGGGCGTGTTTGCACTATTTGTACATTGCTATTATATTTGCTATTTTGCCAAGTCATTAGAGAACAGACCTCTCTAGGAAACAGGCCGTCACACACGCAGACTAAATATAGCATCATGTCGGAAAAGAGTCCAATTATGAGAGGGCGCTAGTGTGTGGAGTCACGTATGACAATTTGTGATTAGGTGTTGGTTTGGTCACTGTTTTGCTGCAGCTGTAAACACTGAGTGCAGAGATAATTTAGGGACCGGAGAGACAGGCTGGAGACCAACGTGTGTCAGTGGTAGAAGGAGGTGAAGGCTCAATGACAGATTCAAAAGAGGAAATGGAGCAATTGTGCATCAGATAGAAGGCAGTGATGTGAGACTGAAAGAGAAACAGAAGAAAAATGATGGCAAAAGTAAAAAAAAAAGGACTGGGTGAGCCAGAGAGGACAAAGACAGGAGGAGGAGTGAGGGACCTGCAGATGATTGATGGAGCCAAAAAGACGATTTCTTGCTTCATCTGATATGCATTACTCTGCAATCAGCAGACACACATCCACACAAACACGCACACACACACACACGTAGGACACCACACACACACACACAAGCCTTGCAATCAGCGCACATTGACACTCAGAGTGACTCTCACACAGACTATTAGTCGGCAATCAACATTAAGGTTAGTGATCAGAGGCTGTCATCAACATGTACTGCACACACACACACACACACACACACACAGAGGTCCCACAGTGGGACATCCACTGCCATAGTTCCTCAGTCCAACCTTGTCATTGAAATGAAATGCCTGATCCCGACCGTGACCACAGTCCTTAACTCTAACCATGACCTTAAACCAGGTCTTCACCCTAAAAACAACGTTCTCAAACACACAAGGCCCTGTGAGTCAGTGTGTGTGTGTTCACACTGTGG